ACACATATTTACAGTGACATGAATGAAGTTTGAATTTGGAATTTAAAGCTAAGTATAATTAAAATGTTGATTTTTTTTATTTATATTGTTTTACTATTTATTCACTGTTTTTTTGAAACATAGGTTTAGAGCATATAAAAAATGAATAGCATGTGATTATGAGATTTAAAAACATACCACATAGTACTATATATAGTATAGTACCTCCAGTCTTTGCAGTCTTTGACAAAAAGCTAAGATAAGTAATACCCTGGTACTGCAAGTTGATTATATAATAGAATCATTGATTTGGGTATGAGCATAATACATAATGAATTTGTCAAAATATTAAAACAAGCTAACGCGTTACTAACTTTTGTTCTCTTTGAATATGTTAATTTTAGGTAGAGTTGGAAGTAGCGACAAACGTAATTATTTAAAGATTATACTTTCAAGAATATACTACATGCAGTACCGTGCAATAAGACTATTTGTCTAAGATTTTGTATAAGTATAAGGCAACACAAAGATTAATTAAGAAGATAAGAATTTTGGAATTTATAATGCTTTTAGATAGATATGAGATAATATATTATTGGCTCTTAAAGCATTTTTTGTAGATTTTTAGCTAACATTCTTCTCTATTTGCAATCATATATTTTTAACACATAATTGGTGTAAAATAATTTTATGATAAATTTCTTAGATTATGAATCCTGATATAAATTGGATTTTATTATAAGATAAGGTTCTAAGAAGGGTGGAAGGTTTAAAGAGTCAGCAAAAATTCATATAAATTTATAAAGCATGTATAATAAAAAGCTGTTGTGTGATTAAATTTTATGTTTATATGAGTCTAATTCAGCAGTGAAGGCTAACTATGAGAGAGTTTCAATTTACAAATATAAACCCTACTAAAACCCACATATACTATTTCATTATAAACTCTAACCATATAGGCCGATTTGCATCATTACTATTAAAAGTGGTAAAATATTTGACAGTGAATAACATTTTATTCACTAATCCGTTTGGGATGATTTTACCACCAAAATGACTATCTCAAAGAGACAATTCTAACGAGTCTAAAATTATTGAAATCCAATCATGGAATCCCAAGATAATTAGAAAGTTCTTTGCTTCAGATAAGATAGAATGGGTTTAACCTATCCTATTTTACCCGAAGTAAACAAAGCGTTAATTATCTTGGGATCCCATGATTAGATTTCAATAATTTTTAGACTCGTTAGAATTGTCTCTTTGAGACGGTCATTTTGGTGGTAAAATCATTCCAAACGGATTAGTGAATAAAATGTTATTCAATATCAAATATTTTATTATTTTTAATAGTAATGACACAAATCGGCCCATATGCCCTAAATTTTAACCTAACTCTAAAAAAAAATACTAAAAAAATGTCCCAAAAAATTTTTAAAATTTGATATTATTCAAATTCCCAGCATCATCCGATTCTTAGCATCATCCCCCACATTATATATAGAATACATAATATAATATTTTATCAATATTATCTAATCAAATTTAATACCCGTTATGCTATCTTGGCCAATCTGATTAATATTTGGTAGATTACATATATATTTTATGAGTTAAGGTTTCTATAGGTTAGGGTTAGGGTTAGGGTCAGGTTGAAGTTAAGTATGGGCATGCCTTTTGGTCATGGGCATGCCCATGCCTACTGTGCTCAGAACCCTAAACACTGCAATTTGCGCATATATAACTTTATAAACATCAAATACATAATGGTTGAAAGGTATTTATCTAATTAGTAAGATTATTTCATGGTTGAAAGTATTTTAAAAGTTTAACTACATTACAGTATTTCGATATTGCAATCAGAAAATGTGTACCAGGTTGGTAACGTAGTTTTTCTGATTTACGAATCAGCTTTCAAGATTAGGTATAATATCAAGAAGGTTCAAAACAAATGTTCATTCTGCCAAAAATCGTCTATACTCAAAAACTACTTCCTTCTAGCTCTTAACTCTGACCCTAACTCTAACCTTAACGAATTTGAAGAATTTGTCTGCGCCACCAAACTGGTACACATTTTTGGTTCTACCACAAAATCCCAATATCCAAAATCTTGACAGGCTATAATACTGACATCACGTGATGATTGTTAACATGATTACTAATCTCTAAATCTTAATTGTCATATCGGGTTATGGTTTCGAGATTTTGGATGTTAGGATTTTGTAGTAGAACCCACATTTTCCAATTGCGGCATTACGGCATTATAACATTATAGCATTATAGCAAATAATATGGCACATGCTGTTGCTATATTAATTTACTAAATTACATCGTAAGTCTATCTGTTCAGGATTATCAACATGAGGATTTTGTTTCGAGTCTCTAAAGTTGTTTTCAGATAAAGTGAAAGAAATCTCTTTTGTAGAAAGTGCATTCTGTATATTAGTAACGGTTTGGTCTTTCTTTTTGATTTTCTCAATATCGTTTCTTAATTTCACTACTTCAGCTTTAAGGTAGTATTCTCTTTATCGTTCTGCTCTAGTTTTTTAATTCTAGTCTTATATATAGCTTCACGTTTAGCATTTTCTTCTATAATATGTTCTAATTCTGCAATTCTGGTTATCAATAAATCAACTTCAGATAATTCTTTAAATTCATCCTTTTGTATTTGCATATTTAATACTGATTTATATAACTTTATTAAAAATGTTTAGAAAAAGAATATTGTATACATTTTGAAAAATGTTTTTATTAGTTAATGCTTTTAATTTAACAACATCCTGACCAATGGTCAGAAACTTGTCAATTACTTTTACCAAAAAAATACTCATATACAGATTAATATACATTGATAACGATATAATAAAATAAATACACGAAATATATACGCAAAAGTAAACTGATTATTTGTGCGAAATTGAGCCACCAGAAACAGCTTTATTGTCATAAAAAAAATAAAATATCACAACGTGAACCATAATCTATCTGTTTCAAAATACTCTATAAAACTTTCGCAATGAAATCTAAAATACCGAATATTTTACTAAGTATAATCTATGTACATCTTTATATTAATGCACCTCTATATATATAATATCGAATACTAATTTGGACTTTGTATCATGTCTGGGTTCTACGTATGGTCCGTGTTGTGCGATAAATAAAGTATAAAAAGCTCTTATTGATTTATGATAATTCCATTCTAATATAATTTAGAATTTTTTTAGAGAATAAATAATAATGACTAACTCCATATTTAATAATTTTTTACCCGCAAAGTCAACAAAACATATACAAATCCTTCTACCTCTTCAAGTGACTCATCACAGAAGTAGATTTTTGCTTTGGAAATAGGCAAATAATACTTTATACTCTTTTCTTGTACTAACCCATAGAGTATAAATCTATTGCCTATATTTTATAAAAAAAATAATATTAATATTGATGGTATTTTAATTTAATAAGAAATTATGAAGAAATGTATTATTACCTATAATATTAATCCCAAACACGATATAAACCTTTTTTT